CAAATTGGTGCAGTCACTATGGAAAACAATTTGGAGGTTCCTCAAAAAATTAAAAATAGAACTACCTTATGACCTAGCAATTCCAGTTCTGGGTATTTATCTGAAGAAATTCAAAACATTAATTCAAAAAGATACATGCAGCTTTATGTTCACTGAAGTACTATTTACAATAGCAAAGATATGGAAGCAACCTAAGTGCCCATCAATAGATAATTGGATAAAGAAGATATCGTACACATATACAATGGAATATTACTAGGCCATAAAAAAGAATAAAATCTTACCATTTGCAACAACATGGATGGACCTAGAGAGTATTATGCTAAGTGAAATAAGTCAGGCTGAAAAAGACAAATACCATATGATCTTACTTATATATGGAATCTAAGGAACAACAATAGCAAAAAAAAAAAAAAAGAACAAACAAAACAGAAACAGACTCATAAATATCATAGATACAGAGAACAAAATGATTGCCAGAGGGGAGGGGGTTTGGGGAGCTGGGTAAAAAAAGTTAAGGGATTAAGAAATATAAATAGGTAGTTACAAAACAGTCATGGGGATATACAGTACAGCATAGGGAATATAGTCAATAATAGTCTAATAACTATTAGCACCAGGTGGGTATTCAGCTAATTGGGAGGATTACTGCATAAATTATGTAAATGTCTAACTACTATGCTGTACACCTGAAACTAATACAAAATAATATTAAATGTCATAAAAATGTATCTAAAGGAAAGACCTGTTAAGTATCCCCCTTTTTAAATTGACCATGTGCTAGATATCAAGCCCTGTGATAAGCTTTAGGGGTACAAAATTGACAAAGACCTGATTCTCATCTTAGAGAAACTCAAAGATTCATGGAGAAAACAGATCTAGAAGCAAATTGTTACAACATAAACGGGTAAGTACCAGAACAGAGAGAAGAGCAGACAGAGCACAGAGGAATGACCAATTTGGCCTGGGGTGTCAAAACTAGGCACCATTACACTAAATCTTAGAGACTAAATGGATTTTCCCAGGAAGGAAAAGAGGTAGAAGGAACAAGTGAAATATTTAGGAAATAAGAAGGAAAACCTACACAAATCAGATTACCTTCTCGTGAGAAGAAACTTGTTGGCAGGAAGCAGAGGAAATAAAATCAATATGGGACATCATGGTTGACTCCCTCATCCACTCTCCCTCGACTCTGATTGGGGTCCTCTTCAAAATGTCTGAAAACTGAGGATGGCATTCTTGTAACTTAAATAAGTCAGAACCCAAGATTTTGAAAAAAGAACATATAACATGAGCTCTTGCCTAAAGGAAGTTATTTTTTAGATGAGTAAGAAAGAGGAGAACTGATAATAGTGAATTGAAATCGACATACCATAGAAACTCACCTCTGGCAAATTTAGAGGTTTTCTGTTTGGAGCCCTTACAAGACCACGCACGTAGGCCAACTACCCAATCCAAAGTTATTGGAGGCAGAAAACAAAAAAAAAGAGAGTGTTTTTCCCTGCATCACCATTTGCACCCGGTCTGTAATGTGGGAACCTTATTACCCCGGACGGCATCTAAAGCAGGAGATATGATAACTAAATACAGTGGTGATTCTAGGCTGGATCCTTTTGCTATAAAGGGCATTATTGGACCAATTATTGAATGGTATCTGGAAATTACAGGATAGTAGTGTATAATTGTTAATTTCCTGATTTTGAAGGCCTGTCCTATGTAGAAGAACATCCTTGTTTGCAGGAAATACAGATAAAGCACTTGGCGGTGATGAGGCATCATCTGGGCAACTTACTTGAAAGATTCCAAGAAAACTAAGGTTCTTGTACCATAATTACAACTTTTATGTAAATTTGAGTTTGTTTCAAAATAAAATGAATGTAAAAGTTTAAAAATGAAAAAAGTATAAGATTATCTGTTCTCAGATGAACAAAGAAAAAGAAAAGTCAAGGTAATGTGAGCCATGGGAGGCCTCCTTTAATACTGTCCCAACACGCTGAACCCACTCTGCTTTTACCTAAATTCTGTTTTTAGCAGAGTGCGTGAAAGGGAGAAAGGTGTAGAAATACTGCCACCTACTGGTTTTAGAGCAAATATGTTTAGGATAGTAAAAAAAGCAATCCTGAGGTTTCCTCTGGATGGGGCAAGGGGATAGACTCTTGAAGGCTATTGGAGAGCATGGGAAACAGGTCCTTGAACATTGAGGATGCAGATGAATTACACCTGAGCCCCAGAGCAGAGGGCAGATGGCTCTGGGTTTCAGATGAGCCCAGGGCATACTCTTATTTGTAATATTATGATGACTATATTAAATCACATTATTTAATACAGATATTTGAATATGGGCCCAGAATTGTGTACTCAGTACCAATGACACACAAATGAACAAGAACGTTCTGTCCAGGGCCTTTCTGAAGCTCACATTTTAGTGGGAGCATGGGATTAGCACTAAGTTGTGCATTAAGAGAAGTACTAAGTGAAACAATAGGAAACAATGACAGTAAAATAACTCGCATGCAGCAGGAACTCAAAAGCATTCATTCTCTTTCCCTTTCAAACTAAATTGAGACACCTTACTTTTTTCAAAATGTGTTCAGAAGCATCTTGAGAGCAGAAGCACTTACTATTACAAGCACTCCGTGAAACAGCAGACAGCATGACTGCACCAGACACAGGTGAACCTCGCTTTGCTTTCCAAGAACATTATTCTAGCAGCCCAGGGAAAGAGGCGCTAGGTATGTTCGTACTTCTGCATACCAAAGTAAATAAAAGATCACCAGTCCAGAACTTTATGTAAAATACATCTTGTGATAAAAGTCAGGTTACTTCTTTTTTTCCAGAGTTAAAGCAATATGCTATATCTAGTTAATGTTCTAAGGTGTTATAACTTTATAATTTAGTATATAAAATACTATGCTAGATTTCCAGTCAAGACGACGGAGTAGGTAAACGCTGTGCTCACCTCCTCTCAGAACCACATCAATTACAACTAAACCACAGAACAACCACCATTGAGAATCGCTTGAAGTCTAGCTGAACCAAAGCCCTACAACTAAGGACATACAGAAGAAGCCACCTCAAGACTGGTAGGAGCAGCAGAGACTGGTAGGAGGGTGTTCTCACACTCAAGGGTGACCATTAAAAATCCAGAGCGATATTGCAGCTTCAGAGGTACCCCCCAGCAGAGGAGCAAGGGGTCCCAACCCCTCCCCAGCCCAGGGTCTTAGTGTCAGGGAGTAAAGTCCCCATAACGTCTGGCTATGAAAACAGAGGAGACTGTGGCTGAGTGAGACTGAGAGCAGCTGCACTCCCAGGCGCTCCTCTTAAAAGGACTGTGCACAGACTTATTCTCTGGCAGACTCACTTGCTCTGAACTCCAGCACTAGGACAGCAGCTCAAAAGGCACTAGGGAGGAGCTGAATTGTCTGGCTTCAAGGCAATGACTGGAGGGGCAGCTTTCTCCCAGAGGGAGGAGCTGGTGGAAGCCATTGTTTCTTTGTTGAGCCCTCCCGCTCCGTACACGCAGACGCAGGCAGATGCCATATCTGAGTCTTCATCAAACTGGCTACTACCTTTCATCTGCTCCGCCCTAGTGATTCCCAGAGACGCCGCCCAACCGGGCACACCCAAGCCGCTTCCAGTGACTTTCCTGTACAAACAATCTGTCTTAGCTCATGCTGCAGACTTTCATAAAATCTCTCATAGGTTTCCAAAACCCAAACAAGCAGCACCTGGCTTCAGCCATTCCGTACCTCTGGCTGAGCAGCCTAAGGCCGGCACTAGCAAGGGCCAGCCTCAGTTCACAGATTGGCCTCTTCAGGTACCTCCAAGCCCAGTGTGGGTGGCGGTCATCTGTGAATTGCTTTGTGGCTCACACCAGGTGGCCCCAGGCAGAGCATGGACTATGGTTAAACTTGGCCTACAGCAGGTCCCCACCCAGGAGGCCCCAGGGCTGGCATGCCTGGTGGCCATATTCAGAACAAGCCGGTGCATCCCCTGGTGGCCTCCAAGGACAACACACCCAAAGGGCAGGCTGGGCAGACACCAGAGGCCTACAAAGCAAACCCTGCTCTGAAGGGTCAGCTTTTGGACCACAGCTCTTCCACCGCAGTCAGGCCAGTCCTTACAACCAATCAGCCTGAGAGTCAATTTCTCCCAATGACGTGCAAACGGCAACCAAGGCTCAACTACAACAGGAGGGGACACACAACCCACACAAAGGACAGACCTGAAACACCCAGCTCTGGTGGCAAGGGAGACTGAACCAATGGGTCCCACAGGACACATACTATATAAGGCCCTCCTACTAAGACTGGCAGGCATAGCAGCCCTACCTAACACATAGAAACAAAACAGGGAGGCAGCCAAAATGGGGAGACAGAAACATGTCCCAAATAAAAGGACAGAACAAGGCTCCAGAAAAGAAACTAAACAAAATAGAGACAAGCAATCTACCAGACGCAGAGTTCAAAACACTGGTTACAAGGATGCTCAATGATCTCAGTGAGAACTTCAACAAAGAGATAGGAAACATAAAAAAGAACCAGTCATAAATGAAGAATACAATAACTGAAATGAAAAAGAGAAATTCAACAGATTAAATGGAGCAGAGGATCAAATCAGCAATTTAAAAGATAAGATAGCAGAAAACACCCAATCAGACTAGCAAAAAGAAAAAAGAATCCAAAAATTTGAGGAGAGCTTCAGGGGCTTCAAGGACATCATCAAGCACACCAACATTCTCATCACAAGGGTACCAGAAGAGAGAAAGCAAGGAATTAAAAACCTATTTGAAGAAATAACGATGAAAAACTTCCCTAACCTGGTGAAGGAAATAGACATACAAGCCCAGGAAGCACAGAGACTCCAAACAAGATGAACCCAAAGAGGCCCAACCAAGACGTATCATAATTAAAATGCCAAAAGTTGGACGGGATCAGCTGACCAACCGGGTAACCGAGCGGATTTAGGCCGCTGGCCCCGGCTTCGGAGTTCTCTCCACCATGGCCAGTCAGTCGCAGGGTATTTAACAGCTGCTGCAGGCCGAGAAGCGGGCCGCCGAGAAGGTGTCCGAGGCCCGCAAGCGAAAGAACCGGAGGCTGAAGCAGGCCAAAGAAGAGGCTCAGGCTGAAATTGAACAGTACCGCCTACAGAGGGAGAAGGAGTTCAAGGCCAAGGAGGCTGCGGCTCTGGGATCGCACGGCAGTTGCAGCACTGAAGTGGAGAAGGACACCCAAGAGAAGATGAGCATCCTCCAGACCTACTTCCAGCAGAACAGGGATGAAGTCCTGGATAACCTCTTGGCCTTTGTCTGTGATATCCGGCCAGAAATCCATGAAAACTACCGCGTAAATGGATAGAGGAAGAAGAAAGAAGTGCCTGTTCCATGGATTGGCACCTCGATGCCTCCATGGAATATGAAGCTTTAGCAAAGCTTGAGTTATATTCTTGTGAAAGGCATTAAATTATTTCTGTTTAAAAAAAATAATAAAATAAAATAAAATGCCAAAAGTTAACGACTAAGAGACGGCTGGCCAAGTGGCTCAGTTGGTTAAGAGCTCCCTCAAGAATTTGAGCTCTGAGCAACAGCGGTTTGATGCCGGGACTGAGCTGAGCTGCCACTGAGCTGCCAACGGGTGGCAGGATGGCTCAGCTAAAAAAAAAAAAAAATACTAAGAGAGAATCTTAAAAGCAGCAAGAGAACAGCAGTTAGTTACCTACAAGAGAGCTCCCATAAGACTGTCAGCTGATTTCTCAACAGGAACTTTCCAGACCAGAAGGGATTGGCAGAAAAATATTCACAGTGATGAAAAGCAAGGACCTACAACCAAGATTAACCTACCCAGCAAAGCTATCATTTAGAATCTAAGGACAGATAAAGAGCGTCCCAGACAAGAAAAAGCTAAAGGAGTTCATCACCACCAAACCAGTATTAAAGGAATCAGAGGGATTTTAAGACGAATATATATATATATATGAAGTGGCAATAACTACGTATCTATCATGGACTCAATGCTCCAAAAAGTAGGGTGCCTGAATAGATAAGATAATAAGACCCTTGAATATCATGCCTACAAGAGACTCACTTCAGATCAAAAGGCACACACAGACTGAAAGAAAATGGGGAAAAGATATTTTATGAAAATGGAAACAAACAAAAAAGCTGGGGTAGCAATACAACCAGACAAAATAGACTTTACAACAAAGGTTATAACAAGAGACAAAGGACCCAGTAATCCCAGTTCCAGGTATTTATCCGAAGAAACCCAAAACGCCACTTCAAGGAGACATGTGCATCCATATGTTCACTACAACATTGTTTACAATGGCCAAGATGTGGAGGCGGCCTGGCTGTCCACCAATGAAGAATGGATTGAGTAGGTGGTACATATATACTATAATGGAATATTGCTCTTCCACGGAAGGGAATGGGTTCTTGCCATATGTGGCGGCATGGATGGACCTGGAGGGAATTGTGCTGAGTATGTCAGACAGAGAAAAGCATATGCAATGTGACTTCGCTTACATGTGGAACCCAAAGAACAAATAAACCAACAAAACAGAAACAAACTCATAAATACAGAGAACAGTTTGATGGTTGACAGATGGGAGGGGGGTTGGGGTGAGTGAAAAAAGGTAAGATTAAGAAGTACAAATTTGGCCGGCCAAGTGGCTCAGTTGGTTGAGCACGAGCTCTGAGAAACAGGGTCACCAGTTCGATTCCCACATGGGCCAGTGAGCTGCACCCAAGCTGAGCTGCCAACAGGTGGCAGGACAGCTCTGCTGGTGAGAGCACGTGCTCCTAACAAGGTTGCCAGTTCAACTCCTGCATGGGATGGTGGGCTACGCCCACCCGCAACTAAGATTGAACATGGCACCTTGAGCTGAGCTGCCCTGAGCTACCAATGGGCTGCCGGATGGTGACTGGACTTGGAGCTGAGCTGGCTGTGCCCTCCACAACTAAGATTGAAGGACAACTTGGCTGTTCCCCTTCTCCAATTCCCCAATAAAATATTTTAAATAAAAAAAGTACAAATTTGTTGTTACACAGTAGTCAGGGATGTGAAGTATAGCATAGGGAATATAGTCAATATTTAATAACTATGTATGGTGTCAGATGGGTACTAGATTTATTGGGGTGATGAATGGGTGGGGGGTTGGGAGGCAGTGAAAAAGTTGAAGGAATTAAGTACAAATTGGTAGTTACAAAAGTTAAAAGTGGATGTAAAGCACAGAGAATATAGTCAATAACTGCATAGTGCCAGGTGGGTACTAGACTAGTCAGGGGGATCATTTCTAAAATTACAAATGTCTAACTACTATGCTGTATACCTGAAACTAATATAAAATAATATTGAATGTCTAACGTGTAAAAAATAAATGAAAAATAATTATGCTATTCCATTTTCAGATGACTTACTACAGATATGACTGGAGATAGTTTGTAGGCCTTCTGAGTTTTAAGAGTAAAATTTCAAGTACCTATCATTTAGTATTTCTTTCCCACAGTAAAAATTATAAAAGCATTGTAGGATTAATGTTTTGACACACATGCATAACACAGACCTCTTGATAGGTGAAAGATTCTTTTATTAACAATCAAAAAATTTCACACTTACATTAGGAAAATAAATGTTTCTTTAATGAATTAAGTGAAAACTATCCAGGACCTTATAGGATTTTTAGTATGTACTATGTGTATCTTAGAAGACAGGACATTAGCTTGCTGGATCATGAGGTTATGACTAAAGATGAGAGACAGTGATTTACAAGTTACCTAATAGCTTTCCCAAACAGTAGTATCCCTGAAAATAAAACAGGAAACAAAGTTTGTGTTTATACCTAGTTTTAGATATGACTCACAACACACATCAATCTTAATTATATGATTTTGATGTTACTTTTTTAAAGGTACCCAACAGAAATTCAAATCTCATTTTATAAGATCCTGAACTTGAGGAGTAATTAAGTTGTAACTTCTCAATATTAAGTATAATTATCCAATGGTTCAGGCAACAGATGCTATTTCACAGACCTGTTTGTGTCCTATTCCCCTGCAGCACGAATCGTGCTAAGGTTTGTGAAGCATATCAAGACTAGAGCATGCCCTGCTGTTTCGGTCACAAATATCCTTCCTGGATGAACAATGCTTGTTCTTTTCAAAAGAAACGGCTATTTCACCTTTTCTGTTTCTTTTCTGTTATGAAAAACAGGGCTAAACAGAACCTTAGTTTCATTTTCTGCTGGATAATTAAAATCTTTACATTATCGTAGGCTCTTAAAAATCTATCTGACAGAGAGGGAAAAGCAAAACCTTAGAGGACAGTGTGCTTTTCCTCGTTCCCTCAACATAAAGCCAAAGCAAAAATGGGGCCCCATAAAAATTTCAACATTCAATTTTTTTTTTGAAATCTTAAAACTTAATAAGAGTCAAAAAGTTTTATGTAAATCAGTAGTCTCTACACAACTCAGTTCCATACAAACCATGATCTAGCAGACTACTCGTACTCAAAAGACCATCTTTCAAAAGGTCCTACTTTTCTAGGTCTGTTTAAAGTTCATTGCCTTGTGTATAAATATATCAGCATATATATATTATGTATGTAAGCAGTAATCACCTGACTTCCATTTGCCCTTCATGAAAGCCATTTTAATGTGGTTTATAATCAGTCTCTCAAGTATTTTCAATCTGTAAGCATAAACACACACACACACACACACACACACACACACACACACACTCTCAGAGTCATCAGTCTCTTCAACACTTGACAATTCAGAAGCTTTTCTAATTGAATTCTAAAAGAAAAGTGCTTTGAATTTAATTTTTTTTAAACTTCAGTCTTCAATATTGAAACTGCTAAGTTACTCCATCTTTCCAATTAAAAAAAAACAAACAGGAAAATAAAGTGGTGAAAAAAAATCAAAAATAAACTGGGAAAACATCCTGTTACTAAATAGGTTTAAGAAAAAACCTATATAGAGAAAATATTCCAATAGAAGGTAAAACCTATGTGGGTTGCTCAACACAGCATTATTTGTAATAAACAATTAGAAACAAATGTAAAATTCAGTAATAGAACTGTAAAATAAATTAGGAACTGTCCAATTGATAAAATATTATACAGCCATTAAAGATGATGAGGAAGATGCTGAAACGTGGGATGCTCAAAGGCTCTGGGCTACCTGGAAACAGCTCCGTTTACAACAGAACAGGAACAAAATCTGACATGCTGTGTCGCTGTATTCTGGGTGTAGTTTTCCCTTTATTGAAAAAAATTCAACAATATAAAGCTCCTATAGAGATTGCACATTTTTCTAAAGAAAGAGAAAAACAGCATCAAATGGCTAGAATAACTCAAAAACAAGTCTTTGAAAATGAATATTCTTGGGGGAGGCGCAGCTAAGACCAGGAGCCACTTTGCCTGTCTTCGCTGGGAAGGCAACGCCTGACCATGCTGGGTGCTTCTGAGAAAGCTGCTCAAAACAGGCCTGAAAGAAGGGGGCCAGGCCAGCGCCTGGCCAGTGACCAGTGGCCTCATCCCTATCACTGATTTCATCAACTGGGCCCAATTTACCCACTTTGAGTACTTATGCAACACACGTTTCTATGTTTGAGGACAAATTTTCATGTAAAGGTCTTTGTATTTCTTTCTACAAAAAAAATTCAGATGCAGAACTATTTCCTTCTCATAATAAAGCAATTCTCAATTAGCAATCAAGTTATATTTTTTTAAATGACAAATGGTGTTAACTTTGTGCAACACGTGACCATAAATAAAGACCACTGGGTGATATCCTAGACAGAGGATTACTTACAAAAAGAGAAATTTTTAGTAGAAAGCTGACTAGCTGACTATTGCTTGGGGAATAAATTTAGTATTTTATTGTTAACAACTGGGGCAAAAGACTAGATTTTCTGTAAATGCAATAGAAACAAATTAGAAAGCCTTTGCTAGAGGCCCCAACAAATAGGGATACAATGTTTTTGATGGCTTTGTGATGACATTCATACCCTCCCAGGTATTTTAGCTCTCTGAAGAAAATGTGCAATCAAAAGACAGCATTTACCACTTTCAAACAGTTGCTCAATAACAAAATTTTAAAACAAGAAATGATTCACGGCACTACATTATGTTTATCAAATACTTGAATAAGCTACATTCAGATCTCTACGATAGAGCAGCTTTATGGGTATATTGCAGTACTCTGCACTACTCAAAAATAGTAATAAAGAGCTTTATGTTTATGTGCAATGCTCATGTTTTACTTTTTGCAAGCCACGTATCTTTCAGTTACATTCTCCCAGTTGATTACGTTCCAAATCGCTTTTAGATAATCAGGTCTGACATTTTTGTACTGAAGGTAATAAGCATGCTCCCACACATCAATTCCCAGCAGTGGAATCAAACCTGTAGGAAAGAAGGAAAAAAAGCAAAAACTATAAATTTCAACCTACAACACTGCATCTTCTCAATCTGAACTTTATGCTATGCATACAAAATTATCTTTGCAACATTCTCATCCATTTTTCAGTTTCTTATATAAATAGGAAATGTGAATAAGACTAAATATTCCTATAAAAAAATGTTAAACTTTACTCTTCGGAAGAAATGGTGATAAATAGTAAAAATAATTAAAATAGACTTGGGAAAATCAATTAACTACAATATTTTAACAGCTGTTCTTAAAATACTAAAAGATTTTTCCAAGAGCCCATTCTCAGCCATCCTCACTGGGGGTCTCAGTGAGGGTGTGCTGTTTGTAGGGGTGATTGAGGACCTTCCAAAGGTCCTAAGCACTGGGGATCGTTATGAGAAACCTGCCCTGCTCCCCAAGGCTAATGTTAAAGTCTTAGAGAATACAAAACATTTATGAGACACTAACAGAAAGAACAAGTTAATCAGGAAAACTGAAGAAAACTAAAAAAAGAGAAACACTGGCTTCAGAAACTAAATAGTGTAAATGAAAAATTAGTTATATAAAGCATTTAAAAAAAAACTCTCAAACTAAATAAATGATAGTTCTCCTCTAGAAAACAATTCTCAACCAGTATGTCGATCAGTTGTGAGGTATGTCATTAATAATTTATTATTAATAATTAAGGTAGTGAAATTTACAAATGATTTTTCCCATAAATAAATTGCCTCTCACTTATTTTCATTCCAATGGGCTTTCTTCAAGTGGGAGAGGAAAAGGTGTAGCCAGGATTCACCTGGAAATCAGAGCTTTTCCAGTTAGGTACCTTCACAGGTATACCTGACTCCACAGCAGTCAGTGTTCACAAATCTTTTGTTGCTGTCACAAATTCTGTGCTATCTTTCCTAAAAGAGCCATTTAGATTCTGGCAGTCTGAGTATGTCCAGGGAAGTGAGTCACAAAACCAAGTCTTCTGACATGCGTAGCAGTAGAAAAGGTGGCTGAGAACCGCTGTTGTTCAATGTTAAGGTATCACTTTGGCTTCTTCACATTGAAGATCACAGTTTCAGCTAATTGCTGGATAACTTATGACTCTTTTTCCTAAGCAGCTTCTAATTCAATCTGGCTCAACATAAAAAAGGATTGGGTGAGCCCAGCCTAGAGCTTCTAAGCCAAATATTTTCAGACTAAAAACCCCCAGAAAGGCAGAATTCTGGAAACCTGAGCTCTCACCCAGTTAGACCACAAGTGCTCAGCAGAGGGAGTGAGAGTCCAAGGTCTAAAGTCAGACTCAGCTCCTATGTCTTTTCCTCGCTCTTGTTGTTAATCTAATTTTAGGATTTTTTTTAGTGCATATAATTATATAAGCAGATACGAATTCTAACAAATGAAGCAGAGTTTAAGACTTTTTCTGTTAATGTATCTATAAAATTACATGGGCTTTTTTTTTTTTTAAGATTTTTTATTGGGGAATTGGTGGAAGGGAAACAGACAAGTTGTTGTCCTTTTGTTCTTCAGTTTGGTTGTGGAGGACATTGCTTCACTGGCCCAAATTGGCACCATCATTGTGCTCTTCCCGGGTGAGACAGATCAGTCGCTGGCTTCTGGACGGCCACTCACGCTGGCTGCTGGCTATACACAGTAGCCCATGGCAACCCACTGCCACAGGGGCTGCAGCCTACACTGTCGCCGGCGACTCACGGCAGCCCAGCTCCAGGTTGAGCTGTTGTTCAGCATCTTAGCTGTGGAGGGCAGTGTCACTGGCCCTCATACGTGGGATCCAAGCCGGGGCCCTCTGGCGTCCCAAGCCAGCTCTTAACCAATGCGCCACTTGGCTGGCCCTTTTTTTTTTTTTTCTTTTTCTTTTAATTAGGGAACAATGTGTGTTTTCCCAGGACCCATCAGCTCAGGTAGTTGTTTCAATCTAGTTGTGGAGGACGTGGGGATCGAACCAGCAACCTTGGTGTTATGAGCGCTGTGCTCTAACTAACTGAGCTAACCGGCCACCCCAGAAGTGCTTATTTTTTATAAAATTTAAGATTTCAAAATACCAAGGACTTTTAAAGCACTGTTGCTCACATAAGACTCGATATATCTGTTAAGATTTGCTCAAATGAGTACATAAATACAATAGATTTAAACACTGCTAGTTTTTCTTATTTCAAGTTAAATGCTTTATAGTGATCCATCTCTCGCAAATGAATGTGCAACAATTTTCCAATCTCACCTGTTGTTCCCTGCAGGGGATCCTGGTTAGGACAAGCAACAATCTGTAAGCGTCCCTGCTCCTTATTGAAACCAAGCCAACCCCAACCTGAACCTTGAACACCAGCAGATACAGCGGTCAGCTTCTCCTTAAATTTGGTGAAGGAACCAAAGTCACGTTTGATGACTTCCAGCAATTCCCCTATTAAAAGGAAAAAAAAATCCAAAGAACACCCACAAATGAGCAGATGGCAACAACTGCAATAAAATATTGTAGTACATATATTAAAATACTTTTGTCATATGGCCCAAGATACAAGACATCATATAGAAGCTATAACAAAGCCCAGCGGGCCTATATAACACTGTGTTACTCCTGCCCTGACACCAGTGTTTGTTTCTGAAGCATGTTAGGGGCGGTTCTTCACTCAATGTGCTATTGCCATAAAAAAAAGAAAGACTATTTTCCCTTACCTTTCTTTTTCTCCCCTCAATAGAAGATTTTACACTGACTTCTACCCCACCTACTCTGTCTAGTAGGGGAATAAAATGTTATGGCTGTTACCTGGTTCTTCTCCAGACAGCCTGAATCTTTCCCCTCTCAAGTATATCATTTTTAAAGAGTGATTCTTCTCCTCTATTACTGAACTAAGAGTACGCTTTCAGAGCTATAACGCTTTTTATTCTGTAGTAATATAGAATATAATTATAATTTTAGATTGAGCACATCAACTAAATCAACTAGACCAAAATGATCACTTCTCTGATTCTACTGGTTAAAAGTAATCATCTGGGGCCGGCCGAGTGGCTCAGTTGGTTAAGAGCTCACTCAAGAGAGTGAGCTCTGAGCAACAGCAGTTCGATGCCTGGCCCAAGCTGAGCAGCCAACAGGTGGCAGGATGGCTCAGCAAAAAAAAAAAAAAAAGTAAGCATCTGTTATAAGCACAAATGATGGAATGAAGTGGTACAGATAACACAAAATGGCAGAGTACCAAAACCTGTTGGTTGAATAGGGGTGTATCTGATACTCCGGTAACTCACAAAACCTCAAAAGGATTAGGTCATGGTCTGAAAACCTAACTCACAAACAATAAATTGTCCAGCTCCCCACACTTACCCTCCCATTCATCTTTACTTCCTAATGAGTTGTTTATTTCAAGTGCATAAGATGCCTTCTAGAACGCAATTTAAAAAAAAAAAAAAAAGCAGAAACTTAAGGTAAATTCCAGAAGCCCAGAAACAAAGGAAGGGAGCTGTATTTATGCGCCATAACTTCCCTGGAGTGAGGAGGATAATTAAAGTCATCAGGGCCTCCACATTCTTCACAGGAAGTCAAGTAAATGAGGAGAGTAGGCCAGACCATCAGCTCTGTACCCCACTCATCACATGTAGTTGTCCCGGAAAATTTTCTGGGACAACTGACTTCTTATTAGTTAGGAAGAGCAGTAAAATAACAGCAAAAGGTACTACTATATGCACTTTACATATAATAATTTATTTAATTCTAAAAACAGCCTATTATAATCCCTGAATCAGAGAGGTGAAGAAATTAGGTTACAGAATGGTTAAATATCTCACCACAGGTCCTACAGCTAGTAAGTGAAAGCTTATCTTTTCTAAAAACTGTTTCTCAGTCTCTTCCTAATGCACAAAAGTATCTGATATTGACACTGACATGATATTGTGTGTGTGTGCACGCACATGCGCATAAAACCTGATGACACAACTCCCTGAACGCATTCTCCATTCTTACATGTGTCCTTTTGAGAGTTACAACTTGGTTGTACTGCTTGCTATGAAAAATAGGCCATTATATATCTCAGAGAGAACTAAAGTAACATAAGAAAATCAATAGTCATTTTTAGCACGCACAAAATGCAGCTAAGCCTGCGCCAATATATGCCAACCTTTGGGTTCTCCACCGCCATTAGGGCTCAGGTTTGTCCAGAAAATGCTATGATTGATATGGCCTCCACCGTTGAACTTTAGTGCAGCCTGAAGAGTTATCTGAGTTGTAACATCACCTGAAATGTTAAAATGCAAATACATTTTTTAAAACTCTTACTTTTGCAACTATTCTATACATTATTTTATTCTTTGTAAAATGTCAGGTAATTGAATCAGCTTATCTATAATATCCCTAGAGGTCCTAAAATTCCACATTTTCGAAATGCTACCAAAAAAAAAAAAAACCCGTCCCAAAATTATTTGCCCCTGTGATTTTTCATCTCAATTAATAACATGCTGAACAACTAGTAAGAGGCCCAGCAGGGGTGACAAAGTAGAAAATTCACTCGTGAGCTTCTAAGAACTCAGTTTTCTTGACTAGAAAAAATTCCAGTAAATGAAAGAATTAAGAAAAAAGATAGAAAATGGTGAAATGCTAAAATGTATGGTTCCATATAAGGGCTATATGGAAAACTTTCACCTCTCATTTTCCCAATAGACAACTATCCACCAGGAAATATTTCAGTGCTACATTAACAAGAAATACAACATATTAAAAACTGAACTGATTTTCAACCCCAAACTTACTCCTCCTATGGCTTTTCCTGTCTCTTAGGTGTGAGCTGTCTTCTCAGGACATTTTTGATAATTGGGTCATGTTTGACTCCTTTCCTGTCACACCCCACATCTAATCCACCAGCATCTGCACCAGCAAAGTAGCCCTTCCTTTAAAACACATCCAGATCCCAGTCTGCCTTCCTACCTCCCGTGCAGACCAGCAGCAGCTCCCACCTGCGTTCCTGCCACTGTCTGGCACTGGGTTCCTGCTTCCACATCCACCTCCTACAGTCTATTCTCAACACAGAGGCCAGAGGGCTCCTCTAGACCCCACACTAATCATGGCACTCCTCTAGCCAAACCCTCCAATGGCTGCATTTCTCAGAGTGAACCCCAAGTCCCTACAATCAGCTACAGACATGCACATCGTGACCCTTGGCGTGTCCTCGCTGGCCCGGCTCCGCCACGCTGGCCTCCTTGCACTTACATGAGAAGCTCAGCATGCTCCCAGCTTATGGCTTCCGCTGCTGCCTGTGTGGGAACGCTCTTCCCAGAGACAGCCCCGTGCTTCGTTCCCTCATCTCTCCTTCAAGCCTCTACTGAAATGTCAACCTCATCGGTGAAGCCTTCTCTAACCACAGGGTAAAATGGGCAATTCCCCTACTTTGTCTTTCTGCATAGGACTTACAACCCTTGGCATGCTACATATTCACGTGTTCATCCATCTCCCTGCTAGAATGAAAGGTCCGGTGAGGACAAGGACTTTTGTGCACTGCTATGCCCCGGGGCCCAATATACCGCCTTGTACGTAGCAGGTACTCAATACATGTTTGCTGACTAACTAGATAATTGAATATATTGAATGCAGTTTCTAAGGTAAAAAACTCTCTGGTATCTATAGTACTTTTAAAAAAAGAATATCATGTTTGAAGACATTTTTTTCAACCTTGCTAAAAAAAATAGGCAAAGTAAAATATTTTTTTCTATGCCTTCCACAAACTACAGATGAACTGAACTATTAGGAAAAATGGGAATTTCCTTGTTCAATAAATATTGAATGTTATTCATAAGTACCAAGAGGCAAAGTGAAGGACACAAAGAACCAGAGCTTACATAATAGAAAAAGCTCTCTACTTCTGTTCTTAGGGTGCACACTAAGAACATACGTAAGAAATATCGCGTTCTGAAACAAGGCCAAACCTCCAGTTGGTTAGCAGTTCAGAAAGGAGGGGAGGACCATGTGATATCGGAATACATAATCTTTGAGTTTTTTTAAGATGCCAACTTTTTGTTGTTATGTTTACAAAATAGTTTCCTACAGATCAGTGTCTCCCTCATAAATTTTTCTTGGACAGTAACCCTAAAAATAAACGCAGGTTTATTAAATTGTGCTTCAATAAATCAACAACTAAATTTTCCCAACGGGATAGAAACATGCTTATTGAGAAATAGTTTAATAATCTTAATCTCTTAAAGTTTACTTATTCATTTTTAAATTTTAATAGAAATTTGGGGGACTTAATATCTGCTTTTAAGAAGTTCAACATTTCCTTTGGGTTCACTTCAGGTGTTTTCATCTGTTCAACACATTAAGAGTTAAATACTTTCGTTTGAAAAGTATTTATGTTACTTACACATGATGAAATTGATATTTTACTTATACTCCTTTCTTGCTAAATTTTCAAATATGAAAATGTCACTTTAATGATTTTTAAAATATAACTTTTTAAATAAAAGCAAGCTGCACAAGTACTTATTAATTTATGGGCAATGTAGAATATAACGTAAAGCCTTTTTTCCAGTGGGTTTAATTAAACAAGTAAAGCTTTGATTGCACAAGAAAAGGACTGAAATTGTTTTTAAAATATTGAAGAAACAGGTTCATAGGTGTCAGATTTTGTCACGCAGGAAATACTTTCACAACTGGGATATTCCCCAACCTCACTATTACCACATCCTTCCCGAATTTGTTATTTCCTAAATCACCAAAACTTTTCCCGTATTCAGAATCTTTTGCTATTTTTGAGGTTTCTCTGATTGTCACAGTCAATTTTCCAGAATGGGGCAACTTCTTTGTCTTTAGCCATTTACCTCCTACACAACCAGGCTGAAATACTACATTTTTCCACTAGATGTCCCCAGTCAACAAGCTGCCACAAGCTGTCAACAAGCTATCTAAAATTACTCCACAAATACCACAGGGCTGAAATTCAATAAAAACGGGTATATTTAAGAAAAAAAATTTTTTTTAACTGTGTAGCTTATGGAACCATACATATAGTCTGGAAACGACTCTCAATTATTTCCTCCGCAAACCGCTGCTTAACTAATAGATTGAAAAGTGTAACAGTTTTTGTATAGAAACATTAAAACATAGTATTCCCATACACAAAACACAAAGTTTACATGCTTACTGTTTTTGTCAACTGAGATCTTAAAAAACAAAAAAACAAATAGCAACTCCACATTCTATTTTAATTGAATTCTAAATGTTAGTCAATAAATACAAGCCTGTTTCAGTTTCCCACAAAACGCATTTTTTCTTCGTCAATTTCGGCCCGGAACACGTGAAGCGGTTCTCCTGAATCGAGGAGCCTTTGCTTTATGGAGACGCGCCTGCCGGTCATGTTTCCCCTGAGCCCGTGTCTCGGCGTCGGGCACCTACCCTTCTCCAGCGCCTCCTGGTACTTGTCCTCGGTGGCATTCAGGTTGTTCACATAGGCCGCGTGGTGCTTGCTGTGGTGCAGCTGCATGATCTGGGCGTTGATGTGTGGCTCCAGGGCGCCATAGTCGTATGGCAAGTCGGGGAGGGTGTGCTTCTGCCTGGAGCCCAGAGACCCCAACGCCGGCACCAGCTTCCGGCTCGTGCTGGAAAGAGAGCAAGCACAGACCGGGTGACCATGCAAGCGACCGTCTGCGCGGACGAGGCTGCAGGAGAAGCAGCGACCTGGGCCTTTCCGGCGTTCGCTCGCTCGCTCGCTCGCCCGCAGCATTCTTTGAAGCATTTAACGAGCCGCTGTCCTACCCCCGGGCAGCACCTGGACGCGCCCAACTCACACCTGCCCTCGGGCAGGGCCGCCCGCAGCGTCCCTGCAACACCAGGGCCCCGAAAGTGCCCTCGACCTCGCCGGGTCCCAGCCCAGGAGCGGCTGAGGCGGGAGAAAGAGTCGGGACCGTGGAGGCCACCACTGCGCCGTCCCCGCCGAGGCCCCCGCCGCCCGCCTGCTGCCTGCCCCCTTCATCCTTGGGGCCAGGACCACGTCCCCGCTGCGCCGCGCGGCCCGGGCGCCTCACCTGCTCGCCGCCCGGCACAACATGGTGATGCCACCTGCAGGCCTCTCAGAGTCACAGACGCCGCACCGCGTTGACCGCCCGGAGTAAACCGGCGACCGGGGCTGCGGTGCAAGGACACCGCCGTCCGCCGCAGGCCCCGCCCCCTACTCGCCGCTCCCAACCCGGGGGGTGCGCGGCCCCGGGGTCTGTCCCACCCGCGCCCGACCCGCTCCCTAGGCCCAGGGAACGCGAGAAACGAGGTTGCACAGACATTTTCCAGTGGGATGCGGGCACCGCGGTGCCCACCTATCGTGCTTCCCGATTTGTCGCCCAAGGGAAGGCCGCTCCCCCCCCCAGTGCGAGATGGTACGGTCCACAGCTACGCCCGCGCCGGCACCGCCCAACGCGGCCAGGGGGAGGGGGCGGGATCGCCGGGTCCGCGAAAGCGTCCCTGCCCCTTTGCTGGCGGCGCTGCTGGCGCTGCTGGCGCTGCGGGTGGGTGGGGTAAACTTCCCAGAGAACAAACACCTGTTTTCCGGAACGGCCATGGCGCGCGCCTCCGCGTCCCTAAGGTGGGTCCTGGGTTCTGGGAAGCTGTAGGGCCAGCCCCCCTCAAGTACTGCCCCCGAGTGACCTTTCTTTCGGAGAGAACTGACCTTGGGACCTCCGCCAGACCTGATGATAGCGTTACTGAACACTAAGGATGGGCCAGGGACTGCGTTGCAGGATTTACATACATTTATCTTTATTTCACCCCCAGGGTAGGTATTGTCAACTCCAGGTGACAGTTGATGAGTTCACTGAGATTAAGCAGGTTGCCTTAGTCGCACAGTTTAAAGTCAGGATTAGAACCCAAAGTTTGTACTTTCTTGAACACTAAGACCTACAAGTCAAGTCTTGACTATTTGTTAGGAGTGACTTCCCATGAGCCAACCACTGAGAGAATATAAAAGATAGCACAGCAGAGTCTTTCCTACAGTGTCTTATGGTCTAATAAGTTGTAATTATCAAATGCTTTGTCAACAATTAAAGAAGGGGCCCGGTTAGCTCAGTTGGTTAAAGCGCAGTGCTCATAACACCAAGATTGCCGGTTCAAGCCCCACATGGGCCATGGAGCTGCACCCTGCACAACTAGATTGAAACAACGACTTGACTTGGAGATGATGGGTCCTGGAAAAACATACTGTTCCCCAATAAAAATAAATAATTTTTTTTTTAATCCTGAGTTGTGTGAATCCTCCCTATATAGAAGTAGGAAAGCTTTACAGTTATTGGTCTGAGTTGGGCCCTTATTGAATAGATTAATATAAAAGGAAGCAGATAGTAGGTGCTTAATAGTTTCAGTTACTTTCTTCCACCCTCTTCACAACTCCCATCCCCCACTACTTTTCTTCCCTCCCTTNCCCCCCCCCCCCAAGGATGACCAGGCTTTGGATTAGGGGACTAGCTAGGGGAATCACCCAGCATGACTTCCCAGCAAGAGGGCTGGGGCTTGCTGGCAGTCAGGAGAATGTAATCCAGGGTGTGTGGGGATTCAAATTGGGAGTACATTGTGGATGTCCTTAAAACAAACATGTGATTGGTAACAGGAAATTGAGAAGCATTTTAGCTGAAGTAAGGCACATCAAAAGTAGTTTTTCAGGCAATGTAGTCTGGCATTGATACCATGAGGGGCAGGCTAGTTAGGAAGCTGTTGCATAAATCCTAGCATCAATCCGAGCATAGGTACCAAGAGCCAGTTTTAGAGTGCTAGCTATGGGACCTAGAAGAAAAGTGGATTTTAAGGAATAAAACAACAGAATTCAGTGACAGGTCCATCACTAATAAAAGGGCTTGATCTAATGAGAACAAAATATCACTATACGGAGACAGCCCCGTCAGGCTGCAGTGATGTGCTTCTAGTTTGTACAGAGGATGACACTTGGAGACTTAAATTGACCCCCTCAGGACATGCCCTTTGGAACAAGCAACAAAGATTGGGCAGTAGGGAATTGACAGTAACAGTCAAGTAGAATTGTCTCTAACATTGTATCTGTTGTCAGCTACACCCTTCCAGAAGACAACCGCGACTGTAAGAGTATCTGAGACAGAGTTTGGTGGGTACTGTTGACGAAAAACATCCAGCCTACGAGAAAACTTATAAGAGTTTATTTGAGCCAAACTGTCGACAATTGCTGGGAAGCAAATATCTCGATTGAGAAAATGCTCCGCGAAATGGCGGTTTGCAGCTTATTTTATACATAAAATCAAAGGAGGAAGGTTACATGAAATCCATTGGTGGTAGATTAAGTGGGTGGGAGAAAGCAAAGTGCAGAAATCTCTGGGATTGGATAAAAGTAAATTGGAGAGACAGGTACTCCTCCCACACAGGTGGGTGCAGGATAGCTAACAGTTCGCTCTTTATGGTACATAGAGATGGTAATCAGGAGACAAGCATAACGAGGAATTTTGCAGTTTCCAGCTCTGGTCCAGAAAAAGGATTACTGACATTCCTAAAATGTCATCTTAGGTACAGAAAGACATCAAACAGGACCACTGAAAGGCACAGATTAACTTTATGAGGAAGCTGAAGATGTGACTTCCCACCATGGCCCACTTAGTTAAAATGTGTGTGTGTGTGTGTGTGTGTGTGTGTGTGTGTGTGTGTGTGCGCGCGCGCGTGCGCGCGTGTGCTCATGCCATCTTATTTTCAGTCTCCTGAGCTTGTCAGGTTTAACCTGTGGCCCCTTTTCTGTCCACAGTACAGGAGATAATGAAAAGAGAGTTTCTTATCTTCTTTGTCTACCACACCCAATAAACAGGCCTCTTTCTTTTCAAGTGGCCACTCAATTGTAAGCAGTACTCATTCAATTGGCCCAAGAGTTAAATAGATTACAGTTGACTGGGGTCTGTCCCAAATTCCTCCAGCCAGCTCAGGATGTCATCTGCCACATCAGGACTCCATGACTGGGCTTCCCTTGAATAAACTTCCAAAGGTTACTTCACAGCCATTTTCAGACCCACCACAGTGTAGGCCAACATACTAATTGGAGGAGGCAAAATGTGGGTTGAGGGGAAATCATTTTGAGCCAGTTATTAATTGCATTTATATTCTAGTAACAGAGATCCAGGCACAGTGTCTCAAACACAGAAGAGTGCATTCCCTCATGTAAAAGAGATCTGCATTAGGTAGTCCAGGGATGACAGGGCCATGAAGTCATCAAAGACAGTTTGTCTGTCTTCAGCGTTGCCTCATGATCCATGATAGCTTCTAGGAGTATAGCACCAGCCATCTCACCTCCTTTTATATGAGCAGGAAAGGACAGGTTGGGCCCCAGCTGTCTCCCTTTTGAGGATACTTTTTGGTAGAGTCACCCAACAAATTCCACTCAGAAGTTAGGTAGAAGACTACACCTAGATACTGTGCACGAAAAAGGGGCCACATACTAAACCTGACAAGCTCAGGAGACTGAAAATAACCACATAAGATGGCGTGAACATAAAAAAAATTTTTCATAACTAAGTGGGCCATGGCGGGAAGTCATATCTTCAGCCAAAAGCCTCCTTCATAAAGTTAATCTATGCCTTTAAGTGGGCCTGTTTATTGTCTTTTTTGCACCTAAAATGACATCCTTGGAATGTCTGTAATCCCTTTTTCCAGACCAGAGCAGGAAAGTACAGACTCCCTCGTTATTATTCTTGTCCCTTGATTAATATCTCTATGTGAACTATTATAATAACTATCCCTAAGCAGAAAGAAGTACCTGTCTCTCCAATTTACTTTTATCCAATCCTAGAGATTTCCCCCCCTACTTTGCTTTCTCCCACCCCCTTAATCTATCACCAATGGGTTTCATGTAACCTTCCTCCTTTGATTTTATGTATAAAATAAACTGCAAACCGCCATTTCACGGAGCATTTTCTCAATCGGTTGAGACTTTGCTTCCCGGCAATTGTCAGTTTGGCTCAAATAAACTCATAAGTTTTCTCTTAGGCTGAATGTTTTTTCATCGACACTACAGAGGAGGTTGAGAAATGTACTCATTTAGCTGTGCACATTTCCAGCCTGAAAATTAAGTGGAATTCTGTAACTAAAGGGAAAATGAGTAATGGATTGGAAAATAGCAGTCTTTGCCATGTATTCTTCTACAAGGTACTATTTCCACATATATACTTGGATATGAACTCTGACCGTTAGTGGAATGACCTTAGCTACATTCTCTCTTTTTTCCTCTCTCTTTTTATTTTCCACCTTTGCATCATAAATCTTACCCAGGCAGGAATCTAAATGAGAATTGTTACACCAACTTTCCCTTTGCATAACTTGGATTGTTAATAGGACCAAGCATAGTACTTAAATTGCTAAAATAAAATCAGTGATCCAGGCTGACAGAGAAAGTGACAATAGAGATACAGTATCATTAACAAAGGTTTCAAAGTGAGTTTTTTCCCACACATCATCAGGCTAATTTTAACTAGAACATATTAACTATTGGAAAGGAAAGGGGGAGCTTGGCTCAGAACCAAAGCGTTTTATTGAACAAGAGGTGTGGTGTATCCATAAATTTTGGGAGAAGAGATCTAACTTTATTGAGCAGAGACCATCAACATGTGCTAGGTCCTAGGTCAAATACTGTACATTGTATCTTAATTCACACAACATCTCTGTGAAATGGCTTATTATTCCTCTTTTGGACAAAGATAGTAAGTGACTTGACCAAGGTCACACACAGAGCTAGTAGGTAGTAGAGGGGGGCTTTGAATGCATTGCTCTGTTACCCTGACATAACTGTGCCTTTAAATTGTTCTCCCACATTCTTTGCACACAATAAAATTGAGCTTAACCCAGTCTTTTTTGTGTGTAGCCCAAATTTTGAAACTTTCCCCTCCTGTGTTGCTTCCCATCTCATCCTGTCTTCTCAACTCCTGACTGATCTCTGGCCTCATCTCTTGCATATGACCCAGGTCGTAACTCTTGGACCTGAAGCTTGTTACTGCTCCTCGGTTCTCACCTTGGGTCATTTGCCTCTTTAATCACATTTGCTTCTTAGCCTCAGTGAAGACCCAGCTTCCTGGAGCTGCCCTTGGCACTGCCCCACCTGATTGACTCTTCCCACCCTTGTCTATGGAGAGAATCAGACTTGCAGCCCATGAACCTGGGAAACCGGAACAGAAGGGAG